ACATTCATTTTCTTCTCTCTATCCTCACAGCTACCACTGTAGTTTAGGCTCTCATTGACCTCACTTAGACTACTGCAGGAGGCTCCTAAGTGGCTTCCCTGCCTCAAGTCTTTCTCCTTTCTAGTCCATCTCGGACACAGCTTCTAAAGTGATTTTTCCTGAAGTACATATTAGACCATTGGTGTCAAGTTCAAGTAGAAATGAGACCACTAAACCATATAGAGGGATTCCTGTGACTCTCTAAAGTTTCTAAGTTAGAGACTTAGAAAACTACACATAAACATTATTTATGTTTTATTGTATTCTTATTTATTTTGTTAAATATTTCCCAAGTACAATTTAATATAGCAGCACTAGGGAGAGTTGTGGGCCCACATGGAGCCTGTGGCCTGGGAGAGGAGGGATGGTACACTTGACACTTCTGGGTTAGAGGATGTCACTCCCCTACCTAAGAAATTCCGATGATTCTGTTGCCTCTAAGATCACAGTCCTCTTTTAAAGCCCTTCAATATATGACCAATACTTATCTTTCCAACATCATTCTACCTTACTCCCCCCATCCTTTCACTCCACAGGTCCAGCCAGACTGTCCACCTTGCTGTTTCTCACACTCCCTCTTCCATCTCCACACCTTTGCACTGGCTGTTCTCCACAACTGGAATGCATTCCCTCTTTACCTCTGCCTCTTAGAAATCCTTTGTTTCTTTCCAAATTCTGTTCAAGGACTCTCTTCAACGTTGTCTCCTGATTCTCCCAGCTATCAGTGCCCCCCCATGCAAAAAAGTTACTTTGTATTTGTCTACTTGGTACATATTTTATTATGTACCTGTCATCTCTACCAATGGAAAGTTTCTTCAAAGCTGTTTCATTTTTGTCTTTGTTCCACAGTGCCATGAACACAGCAGGCACTTAAAAATACTTGGAGACTGATTTACAAGATGCAACAGATCGAATAATAGTGCTGTTCAACTTATCTTAGCAGTATCATACAAGGCATAAAACAAGGAACTATATGCTTTCCAAATGTATTTCTCATTGTTACAGTGATTAGCTAAAATAGAGTATATATGTAAGAGCAATCCTACAGATGTGCCTACTTGCAAATGACACTGAAGTGATCTCATTAATCCCCAGAATACTCCAGAATCTCCTTAATGAAACCCACAACCACTTAAGAGTTCAGTTTGAACAACATGAACAGGAAAAAGCAAGTGTATGGCTGGGCATGGTGGTTTATGCCTATAATCCCTGCTACTCCGTGGACAATTTGAGTTTAGAGCTGCAGTGAGGCTAAAGATAATAAAGTGCTCGATCCTAAGGAGCTGTGGGCCACCAAACTCACTGGCCCAGGTGAGGAAGGAAGGAAGTAAGAGAATGATGAAAGGAAGGAGGGAGGGTCTATATATGCATTTGGACGATCAATGGTAAATGTATCTTGAACAGGTACACTGCAATTGAGCTAGACTGGCAATGAGCCAGACCCCTGAACTGAATAGGACAAAGAGAGTGAGTTGGACTGCATTTCAGAAACCGTGCAATGCTTTCAATGATCCCAAGCTGCTCACTAATACTAAAAAAACCCCAACCATTTAAAAAAAACACTTAGTTTTCTGGTGATGCTATATGGTTACGAATTGGGGAACACAATTCCAAAACAATAAAAATTATGAGTACCCAAAAGGTAATGAAGAGACATGTAATCAATGTAAACAGGCGCAACATAATAACAACAATAACTTGTTCACTAGAAGTAAGATAGAAAATGTATGATTTGTAAAGAACTAACGTTGGTCATATAGCAAGAGCAAAGGATAACAGATGAAAAGCCTGAATGAATTTTGTACTAGCAACCATAGAATGTTAGAAATCTAGAAAAAAAAAGTCTTTAGCATGTTGAGAGGACCCCTTATGGAAGATTTATGGGTAGATGTGGATAAAAGTCACAATGGATGAGGTGTAGATAGATTATAATCTACACTCTTGGCCAAAGCACCCATATTAATGAAATCACAGATTCACTGAAGTGTTTGAAGTACTTTATAAAATCAATAAACTTAAAAAAAAAAGGTAAGAAGTAAGTGAGCTCCTTGAAAGTTAATGCTTGAAAGCAATCAGACAGACAGTTCTTTTGTGGGCTTATTTATTCAATGGTTGAAAAAAGAAGGGTTGCCATCCTTGCTTGGCACTAGCTCAAAATTACATTTTTTTTGCCTCTTTTTGTATCTCCACTGCTTAGCACAGTGTCTGGCACATAGTAGGCACTTAATAAATATTTATTGCCTGACTGACTGTCCTCAAGAGTGTCTTCAAAAGCTTTAGCCAAGATGATATCATTTTAGTGATATCTTGAATCTGCAGATGTCATTTACAAAACATTTTTAGTAGTTGAAATCCTCCCTATAGTAAGTATATCCCCTAGTCCTGGTAAGTGTGACTCTTCAAGAATCCCTCTAAAGGGCTTCTCTAACACTACCAGAGCCTCCTTCTTCTCCTCTGCAAGGTCTTCCAAATTTAAAAGTAATCTGGAAGAGGCAGATAGGTGGCACAGTGGATAGAGCATTGGCTTTGGGGTCAGGAGGACCTGAGTTCAAATCTGGCCTCAGACATATAACACTCACAAGCTGTGTAATCTGGAATATTTAAAAGGGGTTTTTCTCAGAAGATAACACACGTTCTGATGTTTGATTCAACAAACACTCATTGTTTGTATTGTTATGATGTAGGCATAAAGAGAAAAAAATGACAGTCACAATTTACTGCGTGTGGGAAGGTCAGGAGGGAGGATATGAGACATACAAATAAATATATCGGAAATACATTAGTCTTTGAGGAGGGAAGGATCACTTCTAGCTAGAGAGAGCCGGAAAGTTTTCATAAAGGAGACTATCTTGCTAGGTCTTAAAATATTTCAATAGGCATACATGTGTGTATGTATGTATATATACATATATATAACAGATATATAGATATATACATATGTGTGGGGGTGTTAATAAGAGTAGGGAAGGGTCACTTTATAAGTATAAGACTTTGTATATACAAATACACTGAGATGGAGAGGACATGCCAAGATTAGTGAGCAATGATGTGATCCAGTTTGGCTACAGCATATAGTTTGTGAAGGGAAGTACCACAAAATAAAGATGGGCAGGAAGACTGGACCAGTCTGTGATGGCAGTCATCCATGCACAGTGGTGATATAGAAAGCCACAAGAGTTGATGTGACCACCAAGGCAGAGTATAGAGAAGAGGGTTAAGGACAAAGTCTTAGGGAGACAATTACAAGCTACTTTAAAAAAAACATATTTAGAGTAATGATTCAAAAGCACCTAAATCAATTACACATGTTTCTTTCAACTGTGACTTTAGTAGGGAAGTTGGGAGGAAGTGCAGAGGAGAAAATTGAGTAAGTTGTCAATGGAAGCTAGACACTAACTCCCCTCTCTTGTACTCACTGAAACATGCTAAGCACAGTTTCAAAGAGCTAGGAGTGGTGGTGAGTCCTTGCATTTTTTTTTTAAGGAGGGACAGGTTAGGTGGTCCAGAGGAATGGGGAGACTAAGAGGTTGATACTTGAAAACCAATGATATCAAACTTTATGTATATACACACACATACATACATATATACACACACACACACACACACATATGTGTGTGTGTGTGTGTGTGTGTGTGTGTGTATAGATATAGTTTTGGAAGTCTTCTGGCCAGTAACCAAGTCCTATTTTAAATTTTTAAAAAGTCAATCTGCAACAGTATACATACAAATACATCAAGTTATTTGGTTTTCTCCCACTTTTAAAAATACATTGTTAATGTTCCCTAAAAACACAGAACCTAATTGCAGCAATTTGTCTATTGTATATCTCAAACAAAAATGAAATTCATCTGGTCAAAAGTCCTCCTTACAATTAGAGGTTTCTAAATCACTTCCCCCAATTAATGTGGATTTCAAAAATATGTTTTTTGCTACCATCCTCAGCAAACAGCTATACAAGAAATAAAGAGAAATACTGTTGTTTGCCCAATCCTTTAAATCGAATACTGTAAAAACCAAGTCTACTCCACTGATTCATTTGTGCTAGCTACCATGGGATTGGTGAAATCTGTTTAGCAAACCCTTTCCCCATAAAGGGGGTGGGGATGGGGCAAAGAGAAATCAAAAGGATGAACAGTGTTTAATTAACTTAAAATAATACTTTAAAGTACTTTTTTGCAAACCAAATTGATATGCTAGTTACAAGTTGCTCAGATACTCAATTAAGTAGTCCCATTAGGCTCCCTACTAGTCAAGGTGTTAGTCAAACTCTGAAAGTAATATATGAACTTTATTTGCTAAATAGCCTGTAATTCTGACTTTCACTAATTCAGAGTACTTGTCTCCAAGTCCAGCTTTACTATATTTAAAATATAAACACCTCATGACAAACAAATATCTTACATTTATAAAGAATGTAATCCAATAGGTGCTTAGAATCAAGTACTAATTCTGTATTTTATTTTCTCCCAGTTGTCAAATAACTTACAACAAAGTTATTCATCTCTTTAACAAAAAGTACCTAGCAGCTGCACGAAACAGTAGTAGTAGCATAATAATAGCTAACAACTTCCCTTTATATTTTTCATTCCAAAATTATGCATTGAAATTTTCTTGAATACATTTAAAGTATGCTGCAAAGTACAAGGTACCTTATAAAATAATCTTTTGGGGGAAAGGAAATTATTAAAAAGTAAAATGTTTAAAACTATTAAAAAAGATAAAAAAAGATTTCACATTGGTCCACAGGTGACAGATTTTTTTTTTAAACACAGTGCCTGCTTAATAAATTTTAGTTGCCTTGACTGGACCCTGTGGAACGTGAAATTGTGAAAGGGTTCCAGCTTTTTAAAAAGATAACTGTAAAGGCTGGGGAGGAAGAGCAAGGAGCCCCCCCCCCCACCTTCCAGTCCTGTGGGTGACCGCGGACGCTCACGGTATTTAACTTTCAGTAACTCGAGGGTGGCACGGCATGATGTTCCTTCACACAGTTCAAGTTTGCAGAGCCCCTTCCTGCGGAGGGTGGAGGATGCTTTGGACACTGGATTTCTCTTCCCAAGAGGAGGTTTGGGGGGAGCCCCCTGCCCCGGGATGGGGGGGGGGACGTGGAGGGAAGTTTAAGGGGTCTCCCGCCCAGTTCGCCCACGTGGACTCCTTTCCCCGCAGGGAGCTCCCCTGCCCCATCCTCATCCCCTCCCACCCCCGGGTCCGAACCTCTGCGGGGGGACGGAAACTAAAGCTGTCCCGGGTGCAGCTGCAGCTGCTGCTGCTGCCCCCGAGGGGAGGCAGTAACACTTACCCCAAGTCCTGCTTCCGAGGCAGCAGGGGTAACCCAGGGGGAGGGGAAGAAGGAGAGGAGGGGGGAGGAGGAGGAGGAGGAGGGGAAAAGAGGAGGGGAAGAGAGGAGGAGAGGGGAAGGAGGAGGAGGAGTCAGACAAGGGGATGCTGTTCAGCCTCTCCTCAGGCCCCCCCCCACACCTGGCCCGGGTGGGGAGGGTCCGGGGGCTGACTCCTCGACAACTCCTTCCTCTCCAGGAAGCCCAAGCCCCCGGGGTGGGGGACAGTGGCGCCACCGCGGCACCCCCTCCCCTCTCCCTTTCAGGCGGACCGCGCGGAGACCAGGGAGAGAACGCTATCTATGGCCCAGCGGAGGGAGGGGGAGGGGCGAGAAATTCGGTCCCGGCAGGGTGGGCCCCTCCCCCATCCCGGACTGGCCCCTCCCCCCTCGCCATGGCGCTCCGGCGGGGCGCCAGGCCGGTTGTAGAGCGCGCGGGCGGCTTTCTGTTTACCCGTCAGGCCACCCGCCAGTGAAGGCGGTTTGTGGTGGCCTGGAAGAGGGGTGGGGGGAATAGAGTTACAGGGGAGGGCGGAGGAGGAGGGGACGTCATGGTCGAGGCCCCGGCCCCTCCTGACCTAGCGCCCGCGTCTCCCCTCCCCCAAACACATTTGGGCTTTCCTCAGGGGGAGGGGTTAGGAATGGGTACCTCTTGGAAACTGAAGGGAGGAAGGAGAGAGGACTGAAGGCTTACCATGACCGAAGTGGCACGGGGGTAGGGCTGGGATGAAGCCCGCTGATTTCGAGATTACTAGTCCATTCCCCACACTGAGGTCCAGGGAGGGGAAGGGACTGGTCCAGGGTCGCACAGCTGGGCTTGATTCCCACAGAGGTTCTGGACCTGGGAACCCAGCTGTTTTGCCACAGGCTCTCCCCCTTTCCCCAAAGCCATGCATCTCCATCAGTGCCATCAAACAATAACCTCTCTGTCCCAACTTCTATAGCACTGAGTTTGGGCTTCTTGAATTTATAATTCAGTGAAATTCAGTTTTTATTAAGAAGCTGCTCAGTTGCAGAGCTCTTTAAGTTCTAGAATAGACGGTAGTGGTTAAGGTAAAGAACTGTCCTTGGCCTGGTGGAACACATATGGTCTAGTAGCCACATGGTTGTGGTCATGATTGTTTTTAGGAGGGTGGCCTCAAAGACAAAAAAAAAATACCCAGATAGAAACAAGTCAAAGGTTCTCTATTCTTTTTGTGCTCTCTCAGGCACATCTAGCACTGTACCCAGCTTTTGGCATCCATTATGATTAGTGTTTGCAAAATCAGTTTCTTGAACATTCACCTTGCATGTTTTATTGGGAAATGCAGATTCTTGTGCACATAACTCAAGGGAAGTCATTTCTAGGCCTCATTTTATTAATTTGTAAAATGAAGTTGGACCAGAGGAACCCTAAATAAATCCCTTCCAGCTCTGCTATACTACTTTACTGCTATGCTACCTATAAAGTGAAGAGGTTAGACTAAAGTATGTCTTCTAGTTCTAAAGTCCCATGATCTGTGCTCATGCAGCTCCACAAAAGAGAAAGCAGTACACATTGGAAATAGCATTGAATCAGAAGTCAAAAGACCTGAGTTTTAGATTGGTTCTTTTACCAATTAGCTGTGTGAACTTAGGCAAACCTCCTCATCACTTCAAGCCTCCACTTCTCAATTTGTAAAATGGTGGAGTCGCACTACATCTTTAAGAGCCCTTCCGGTTCTAAGATTCTATGATACTGGCCCAGGTGTTCTTCAATGTCTTAAATACCAACATCCCAATGTAAGCAAGTGAGCCAGGATATTTGTTATCAAGTTACTCAAAATTCACCCATATAAAAAATATGGGTGGCACCCTGGGTTCCTGAGCAGACTTGTTTCAAAACGTGCTGCTCACTGTACTTGGGGAAGTGGTTAAACAAGGCTAAACCATATGAAACAATGAAACATAACTACTGACAGCTAGGAAACAACAATGACAAATTGAGTGCTTTGGTGTGCTACCATTAGAAGTTGGGGGGCGAATGGAACTAAGAAATGGAAATCAGAGCATCCCAGACTCTACCAAAAAAAAGAAGTTGCAGCTTGTATGGTATGAAAGATATTGTTATACATTTGTCTTTTTCTGTCATACCTTTTACACTCAGATGATTACTTCAGTTGCATCATTATTAAACACAAAGGATGGAAGTAAAAGATCACAGCCTCACTTATGAATTTGATACTACTTTTCGGCCTTATGCTTATGGGACTAACTTCTATACTTAGAAGGATCAAGAATTTCATTGTTAGGAATTCTCTTCCGCAATGCAGATTGCATCCTATTCATGCTTCCTTCTCCTGTGGGATAGATTCTTGATCATATTCTTCCATCCTTGATGAAAATATGAAAAGGAAACAAACGGGCTTCCATGAAGAATTTTCAAGAGAATAGCAAACCAGATCTTTACAGTCATACATTTGGCTGAAAGGTGATGGGAACACAAAATCCTACTGTGTTTATTCTATGTTGATTACCGAAAAGCAAAAATGTTAACCAACAAGGAATCACAAGGACATGTGTTATAATCATACAAGCCTTCCAAGCTGTAGCCACTTAATTTCAAAAGGCACAAAGACCCAGACCTGGAAAGGACCTCAAAGGTCAGCTAGTCCAACCCCCTTATTGTCAACAGATAAGTAAGCTGAGGCCTAAAGAAGATAACATGCCCAAGGTCATGGAGGTAAGTTACTGGAGGTAGATTTGAATATGGGACATCTTATTCTAAGGCCAGTGTTTTTTCTTTCCACTATTCCATACTTCATCAATCCCCAGACCACTACAGGGCCTCTTCAATGAGGAGAATGAAGTCAGCCTACAATCTCTATAGGAAAACTAAATGGATGAAAATGTCTACTGTCCAGACTATGTCATACATGTTGTTAGATAGCCTGTCCATTGAGTTAGTACATTAATACTGTACAAATACCTGGCTGAAAACTACATATAGATAATAAATTAGGCCCAGAATGGAACAGAAAAAAGAGAACAAGATAAATTGAACTTGGGAAATAGGGCACAAAGACCAGTCTTTTCAAAACAAATGTTCTCCTAGCAGCCCTCTTTGGCTGCAAATCTCAGAGCACAATTCCTAAGGAATTAAAAGTTGTGAATAACAAAGGACAATGGAAAGATACCTATTGGCCACACTGGGTGCACCCTCTGTGGAGTACCTATGGAAGAATATGATCTAAGTGGGCACATGTAATTGTGTGTCATATGTCCTTGTGATTCCTTGTTGGTTAACATTTTTGCTTTTCTGTAATCAACATAGAATAAACACAGTAGGATTTTGTGTTCCCATCACCTTTCAGTCAAATGTATGATTGTAAAGATCCGGTTTGCTATTCTCTTGAAAATTCTTCATGGAAGCCCCTGTTTGTTTCCTTTTCATATTTTCATCAAAGATACCCTTCAAAAAGGAAATGATAAAAGCAAAAGAGTCTAATAAAAGTAGTTTGCCTCAGAATATGACATAATTACATAAAATATTTGTACTTTAATATTCCAAGGATCTATGATTTTCTCGGTCTGCTCCACTTTGTAATAGGAGCTTACTTTGCATGTGCCCAGATCTAACATGGAGACACCCTGCTTCTTGGAGGAAACATCTTCCAGATGTTCTCCTACCTCATAGGTGGGAATAGCTTTTTTTGATTGGCTGTATAGCTGGGACAGGCTGCATATTTTAAGCTTCCAGACTGAAACAGTTTTGCTCTCTTTCATACATATTCTTTCCTACTGTGTCCAGAGGGGGAAGATCACACAAAGTTCACCCATAGCTTGGGTGCCATGAACTGACCTGAGAAGACACCTTCCCACCCCTCTCCTTTTAGTCCTTCTGACTTGGTATATATTTCTATATTGTTTCATTTGTCCTTCTCAGTGTCTTGGTCCAAGTGCCCATGGGACCTGAGAGTTTGAGCCTTGGAGCTGGGAACCCAGGCAGGAAATTTCAGCCAGCTAGCCCAGGAGGGATGAAGCCCTGAGAAGTCAGGGAACCTGGAAAGTGAGCCTAAGGGGTATTTTGGACTTAGAGCTGGGACTGTGTTGTATAGGAACTGAGCTAAGGTATGAACTTAGTCCCTTTTCCCTCTCCACAGACTGGGGTGATATGGGGGGTAGGAAGGAGAGATTATGCCTTCCATGTATTGTGGAGTATGTTGTATATTTTTTATGATGCCTTTGAAGTAAATATTTCTTTGTAAAAACAAATCCAATTGATAGTTGTTAAATGGAACTAACATTCAGGGAGACCCACTCCTTATACTTGAGGGAAATACCATTGGAACCTCTGGAAGAGCCTAGACATTTCAAACCTTCTTAAGGGTGTCAGAGAACCCTGGGAGATGGATGAAATGGAACACACCTTGCTTCCAGGAAGAAGGGGCACAAGGTAGTCTAAGTTACACCTCCTTAGATTTAGGTTTCGTCAGTCACCTGGATACAGTGGAATATTAAACAGGTCTGCAATACTGGCTTGGTCTCTGAAAAACCCAGAAGAGTCACATCAGGTCCACCACAGTTTGCCTGCTGGGATTGATAATTATGAACTCACCAGTTATACTCAGAGAAAAAAGTAATATTTCTTATTATCTCCTCAAAAGTGAGGGAGTAAAAAGAACTAATTGAACACAGCATGATATATTCATTTTTTGAAAATTCCCTGTTTTTCTAAATTTTAAACCCAGATTCTGTTTGTGCCTCAGGTAGCAGATAAATAAGATCATTAATTTTTTTTCATCACTGCAGATCTGCATGTTAATTAAATTATGGTTAGTTATGAAGTTCATAGCTCCCCCCCCCATCAGAAGTGGGGAATTTCACTACAAATACCATATGGCTTTTTATAGATGAAATGCCTTGTGCCTATTGTCTATGGCAACTCTTAAAATGTATGAAGCAATGCCAAAGAAAAGTGCAGAAAGTTCCCAATTTGTAAGTGGTTTTTATTCCAAAAGTTTACTTCTGTATATTGATAGTACTATTCAGCTACATCATGAGTTAAATAAGTAATTGTGAATAAACCTGGAAGACTTACCCCTTTTTTAAATATTATTTATGAAAAAATGCATTCCTGAATTCCTTAAAACTTGCTAGGAATTGGTTTTCACCTCTCATAGTTCCAAGAATAATAGAGAACCTCAATCCTGCTATCCTGATAAAAAGAATGGAGGGTCCACATGCCTACTGATAGCATAAATGGGCAAAAGGAGCAGCCTCTCCTACCATGAGCCTGGGATCAGAATGGGGATTTCTGCTCCCTCTCTTAAGACTTCTTAAATAACTCTGGCTGGGGCTCCAAAAATGAATTCAGCATGACTCTAGTTTAACTTGAGAATTAATTATAAAGTGTTTAAAAATTGGAAAATGTTTGTATCACGAACTCAATGAATGTTCCAATAATTTATAATGATGTTAATTATGAATCTTTTTACATGATTAAAGAGCTTTATTGACAGTTGGCAAACAGTCCTGCCTCTTGGTGAATGAGTACTCTAGCAAATAAATGGTTTGGCGCTGGTCCCTTTGTCTTGTTTCCCAGACAAAAAATATGTAGAATATTGTTATATCGGTTTTATTTATGAAGTCTAAATCCTAAGAGTTGAGGCCAACTGAGGAAGGGTGCTACCATATCCATTTCCTGCTTAGAATTTGGGTTAGTAGACCTTTTCTCATTCAGATTCAGCCTCCAACAAATATTTGTTCAATAACTAGTATATACAGGACATTGTGCTAGCCACTAGAGATGATACATGTTTCTGCACTTCAAGGATATTTGATTTCATCCATGTGGACACTCTCTGATTCAGATGATAACATTTCTATCCATAATAGGTGGTGTAATAGGTTTAATGAATTACTATAGCAAAAAAGAAAAATTGTTTGTAGATTAACCTCTGGTGATGAGCCTTTCTGAATTTAGATAAACTAGTTTTTGGATAGTAGATATATAGTATACAATCCGGATCTGTACTCAATATAGTCTTTGCAGCTTGGTAAAATCTTATCAGAGTTTGTTCACCACTAACATTAGTAACTCATATGTCAGTAGAATCTTTTGATCTCTGTCCTTTGACAGGCCAGGTTCAGTCTTAATGATTTTTTCTGATAATAATCTGTATAGGTTTTGTTTATCTCTACCAAAAGCTTAGATTCTGGAAACATTAGAGTGTGATTCATTCCCAACTTTTCCCCAAGGATATGCAGTCCCCTTGCAAGCATCTAACATTATCAATTCAGCATATGTAACAAATTTATTACATACAACAGAGTACCAACAGAAATTATTTCTGAACTCATAGAGAGTCAAGAAACTTACCCCTCTGCAATATATCTCACCAGACTACATCAGTCCTAAATCCCTCTACCAACTTTTGCCAATGATTTGTGCTGTAGGGCAATATGTCAATCCAGACTCGTAAAGCTTTATTGTCCCAGGCAGTACAAACTATCTCAACGTCCCAGAGGTTCACAGGACAACTTATACCCTATGATGCATGAAGGTATTATCTCATCCAAATCTTCCCTGAACTAACCCTTTTTCTTTCCCCTCAAGAGCCTTTTTCTTGTTCTTTTTTTTTGTAAATAGTATTTTTCCAATTACATGTAGAGATAGTTTTCAACATTCATATTTATAAGATTTTGAATTCCAAATTTTTCTCCCTTTGTCCACTCCTCACTCCCCAAGAGAGCAAGCAATCTGAGATAGGTTATACATGTACAATCATGTTGAATGTTTATCTACATTAGTCATGTTGTGAAAGAAGAATCAGAACAAAAGGGAAAAACCAGAGAAAGAAAAAAAACCAACAAAGTGAAAATAGTATGCTTTGATCTGCATTCAGACTCCATATTTCTTTCTCTGGATGTGAATAGCGTTTTCCATCATAACTTTTTTGAAATTTTCTTGTATAATTGTTGTTGAGAAAAGCTAAGTCTATCAGTTGATCATTGCACAATGTTGCTATTACTGTATGCAATGTTCTCCTGGGTCTGCTCAGTCGTTTTCTCAAGGACATCTATCCCAATACAGCCTCCCTTCCCACCTCCAGCACACAAGTATTATATAATAAATAATGCTAAGGTTACTTTTTTTGAAGTCAGGTTAATCCATCTACATTCTAACTTTTTTTTATCTCTTAGCAATAGGTATCATTCTTCTTCTCGCTTTTTCTATTTTTAATCTCCTGAACAGTATGCCCTAGTTCCCAGATAACCAAGTCATGAATACTAAGAGTGTTGCCGTAGCCTGCCAAGCAATAGTGGTGAGGATAGGGAACAGAACAGCCCTCATAGCTTCCCCAAGGCTTCTAACTGTATTGTCAAAATGCATCCTTTGACCAGAGCTTAACTCATCTCTAATCCTTTGGCCACAATCATAGGTTGCTGTAAGGATCAAAAGAGATAATATATGTAAAGTAGTATAAAGTATAAAGTAGTATATTTCATCAGTGTAGCTACTTTGTCCACCAATGCAGATCCCAAATCCTCTATGCCTTAAGTCATTGAGAAATACTGTGTCTGAAAAAATCATTCTGAATTTAGTGAGACTGGTGCTGACATGAGACAGGCACATATTCAAAACACTTCTGACTTAGGAGTACTTCTCTGAGCTTGTACTGTGTTGGCATGGTTTTTAGAAATGCAGGACACCACAGTGTAGCATCAGAAGAGAACTTTAGTGAAGCATTATGTATGTGATGAGGTACTAACCTATAAGGTCCCAGTCTTTTGAATGTTCACAATCTGCTCTGTTTGGTGCCAACCTGTGAGGAGGCCTGAGAGCCTGATTCTGGAAATGTGTAAGCATGCTTAAGTATCCTATGACTTCTTCCTTTCTACTTACTGCATGGTGAAGACAAGCTTTTTAGCTGTTTTCTGAGGCTGAACTGATGGGTATATACAAAAACCTGTAAATGAGGAAAGAGATAGCAGCTTTCCTTTCCTTTATATCCCACTAAGGTTGCCCTGAAGCAGGGTGGTGGGGGTGGGAGGTAAGGTGATGGTGGTGGTGGTGATGTGGAGGTCTGTATTGTGTTTCATTCTTTCCTGTTCTTAGCAGGAAAGTATAGGAGTGCAGGAGACAGAACAGAACTTGTGAGCTTCAAAAGACCAAAAGACACAGTAGAGGTCCAAGAACTGCAGTCAACAGCAGAGTTTGATGGCAGCTGAGCCTATGAGGAACCATTACTGGAGAGAGACCTGCTTGATCTATTCCATCAGTGAATCTACCTGACCATTAAGATGCCATTGCCTGAAAGCAAGTGTGTGGGACAGAGACCACCTACCCAAATTAAAACCAGAGTCTTGACAAAAGTTTACAAAAAGGAGAAATCTCTTTATTGACTTTCTTGAGAAAGGACACTCCCGTGCTGCTTAAGCTGGCATTAGCCCAAGAGTGCGAGAGCTCTTTGTTTAAAGCAAGGATATATAGACCCTAATGCAGCAGCCCACCCTAATTCCCTTCCCGTCGGCTTAATGGCTGAGCCTCAGGTGTACAATCTATTCATGTAAAAGCTACCCCCAGCAACAGAGAGGACAAAGAGGTATAGAAATTACAGTCTCAGCAATCTTTTACCCAGGGTCATATAACTAACTAGAGGATGAGATAGACAGGATGTTCTTACAGCTCAGGAATGTCTGCTAACACTAAGAAAAGGGAGGGAGAAGGAAAGGGGAGGGGATCTTGTGTTCTGAGGGGTCTTGTGTTTTGAGGGATCTTCACTTAGTGCTGGTATGCACGTACCACTCACAAGGCAGTGACTTGTTTGTTGGTTAGGCCTTACCTGGAAGTAAACTTAGTGGGATGAATATTTTATAGCAACCACTATAAGCTTGAGTTCACTCTCTCTAGGGACTGAGAAATTGTGGGAAAAGTATGCTTTGATTCAGGGGAATGTTTTTGTGATTTGGTTTTTGCTATATCTTCTCAGCAAATATATCTTTGTAAAAGCTTGTTGATATTACGTGGACGTTAAGAATATCAACTGGTCAAAATTATATTGGGGGGCTAATCACCAGTTAGATAATATTGAGAAGATATTAATTGGGTAATTGATATTGAGAGGAATATGTCAGGTCAAGCCAATAACAGAAGAATCATGTCAATCCTTCAGAGTTACCCCTACAATTCTAAGGGAGAGATGTAGCTGAACTCTGGAGATCTAATATGCCAGTGCAAGTTGAGTTGGGGTTGAAAGAGGGAGCCCTGAGCCTATATAAACTACATATCACTTAGTTATTCATTGCCTTAATATCTTTGTTCCTCACTCATAGTCAGTGCTAAATAAATGTTTGTTGAATTGATTTGAGCTTTAGTTGACTTTAAAATAAGGAGAGTTGAATTATCACTAATTTTTGTTTTCCTTTGATTGAAAATACTGCTCCTTAATTTATAGCCTAACAGGCAAAACCTGTCCAATACCTGACCCTTTCTTAGTGATTCAGAATATAAATAATAAGCCTCTGGCAAATTAAAAATTAAATCAGCACTTTACTGATGGTTTGTGACTTCTTATAAAGAAGACGTGAACTGAAAGATTTCTTAATTATTCTTCTGTTTTTGTCCGTTTTATTAAGTTTTAAAAAATGAACACCCCTCCCTCCCTTTTTACATTATGGCCTATACTGTGGCTAAACTTAGCACAATATGTTTGCTAGCCACATTTGCGTGTAGTGGGAATGATTCTTGGCTGAGCAATAAGCAGCTGACCTGAAATGGAAAGGCACTGGGTCAATAGGAGGTATCACTCATGATACACATGCTAAAACAAAAAGCCGTGGTCTAAACAACACCACGGTGACAAAAAAAAAAAAGATCTGGAGTAGAAAGTTTAATCTAGCATTGAATCTTCCACCTACCTAAGAAAAATCAGGAAGTGCTATTACCCAGATTGTTTCAACTACGTCCAAACTTGACAATCACTTTCCTTTGACGGCAGATTTTTTAGTCAATCAATAAACATTTATTAAATTCCTACTTATATATCAGGCACTATGCTAAACTCTGGGGATACAAAGAAAGGCAAAAGACAGTCCCTGGTCTCGATGAGATGATGGTAATTTGACAAGATGCAAACAAACAAACAAACAAACATACAGGTTAAATTCAAGATAATCAGTAGAGGGAGAGCACTACCATTAAATGGCATCAGAAAAAGCTTCTTGAAGAAAGGATTTTAGCTCAGACTTGAAGGATGCCAGGGAAGCTATGAGGCGGTGATTAGGAAGAAGGGCATTTCAGGCATGGGGGACAGCCAGGGAAAACACCCTGCTGAGAGACGGTGTTTTGCTTGAGGAACAGCAAAGAGACTAGTGTCACTGGATCACAGAGTACTTTCAATTTCCTCAACTGTAAAATAGGGATAATAACAGCACCTACCTCACAGAGTTTTTTGGAGGATCATATTAGATAATATTTGAAAAGTATGTAGCACAATGCCTGGCACATAACAGGTGCTTAATAAATTCTTAGCCCCTTCCTTCTTCTTTTCCTTCTCCCCTTGGGGGAGAGGGAAGTAAGGAGTAAGAAGACAAGAAAGGTAGGAGTCAGCCAGGTTGTAGAGGAATTTAAATGCCAAATGGATTTTATATTTGTTTATATTTATATTTATTATATGTTATATATAAAATTTATAAATAAAGTTGGTGGGGAGTCATTGGAATTTATTGAATGAGAGGAGGGATCCTAGAGAGTGACACATCCAAATCTGCACTTTAAGGAAGATTAATTTGACAGTTCAGTGGAGAAGGGACTGAAATGGGGATAAAATTGTGGCAGAGAAACCAGCTAAAAGCTACTGTAATAGTCCAGATCCAAAGGGATCAGGTCCTGCACCAGTATGGTGGCCGTGTCAGAGAAGAAAAGGGGGTGTATAAAAGAGATGTTACAAAGGTCAAATTGACAGGATTTGACAACAGATTAGATATGGAAGATAGGACAAAGAATTGAGAATGACACCTAGGTTTTGAGCCTGGGAGACTTGGAGGATGGTGGTATCCTTATGAAGTGCTTTGGAGCTCTTTGACTGATTAGTTTAACTTAATTCTCAATTAAATTTATAAATTAATCAGCAAATGTGATAATTACCTTAATATGTTTGTAAGATGATAAAAGGATGCATTCCAAAGCAAAGTTAATTGTTAGACATTTTGTTATTCAGAGGTAAGGGGAATTATGGATCCCTAGGCCTCTTGACAGATGTCAATATACTCCCATCTCTCAGGTTGGATTTGAAGGTCATACTGGTGATACCTGTCCAATTCCCAGGAGCTTGAGTAAACCAAAGGTTTAGTCTCCATCAACTATATTCAGGCTCTGGCTCCTGCCTGTCAGAAATTGTAACACTACTTACTTCTCCTTTTCATTTCTACTGCCCTTGGTCTGTCAGTAAGGTCTGTCACTTCCTTCAAATGTCCATTTTAACCAGAAGACTTTGTGAAAAGAAACTGTTCACAGAGGATTTGTTAACTGAGGTTTCATTATGTGGCCAAAGTCAACCATTCCTGAACAGATAGCTTAAGAAATAATTAGGTTTATGTTATTTTCCACTAATGAAAATATCCAGGGGGTTTGCTGATAAATGTTTAGCAACTGGTTCTCTGAAAAAAATGTAACTGTGACACACTTTTAAGTTTAAACCATGTTATTATATTTTTCCATCACTTTCTAAGTCTATCCAACAAACAAAACAATAAATCAGGTCTTGTTTTGTAGCATTTGCCAATACGTTGAAAATTTGGTTATTATCTGTCTCACGTCTCCAGCATAGCCCTGAAAATATCTCACCTTAGTTTTGTCAGTTTTCTAAGTACTTCTCACAATAGTCTCATGCCATAGATAGCCAAGCATTTCCCTCATTCTATAGATGAGGAAACAGAGACTCAGAGATGTAAAGTGACTTGACCCAAGTTTTCTTGACTCCAAGTCCAATATTCTGCCACTATTCTATGAATCTCACAGATTAAAATTCTTTCGGAGAAATCACCTAAACAGGGATGAGTAATTCTCAAGAATGAAATTCTGATGGTGTAAATAATCACAGTGAGGAGGAAAAGGGGGTGCTAATGAAAGAGTTGTGTGTAGATACACAGGGAACTAAGTGACCATCTTGAATATAAAGACATGCCTAGAAGATGGAACCAAGGACAGGTGACTGAAGATAAACAAATGAGTGACATAGTCCTGTGAAAACAATGTCAGGAGCACTAAAGCTTAGAATGAAGTAAGTCAGGAGAGAAAGGTTAAAGATAACAAAAAGGACTTTTTTTTTAAAAAATCTCTGTAGAGGATAAGAGGAAAATCCAAGAAGGGATAGGAACATTGCTTGGAGTAGACAGAACAATATTAACAAAGGTAAAACTATTTGACTGCTATTTTGCTTTTGTGTTCTCTAATAATATTTGACTGAACAGGAGGATGGCAGAATTATTTGAGAAGAGTAGAGACATTTATAGGAGGTGTATTTAGAAGGAAACTTAGAAGTCATCTGGTTCAACTTTTTCATGTTAGAAATGTGGAAATGAGTCCAATGAAGTAAAGTGACTTAACTAAGGTCATAGAGATAATAAGCACTTATTTTTAAGGTGATACTACAAATGATCCCGGGTCTTTGCTTGTTTGTTTATTTGTCCATTTATTTACCTATCTATATTTATTTGCAAACTAAAGTATATGACACTAATAGGTTTGGTGGGTTCTAGAAGAGAATAATAAATCTGGGTGTCATAAAAGAGTTTCACTATCACTTTTTCAAATTCAACTAATAAGAAAGATTATTCCATTCATTTCCCAGTGCAATTTTTACAATTATTCAGGAATTGTTATCTTTTTTTCAAACTTTTCTCTGTGGGAATGTTGGAATACTAGAACAGTATCACACAAAGATATCATTCCAAATACAAATTAGAGTAGTGTCTCCCTGGTCTAGAGAAATCCGGGGAAAGAATATATCATAGGAGGAAATTTTGTTACAACCCTTTAGGCTTTAGAGGGTGGGGTGGGGATGGGGGAATAAAAAAGGTGATCCACTTAAGCATGACCAAAATCTTTGGCTAAACTTCAGTAGAATAATTTTAGACCAGTTATGCATCCCAACAGCAAAAAGCAACAGATGCATCAATAGAATCATATAGCTGAAAGGTACATTAGAAATCATACAGTCTAATACCCTTCTTTCACAGATGCCCAGAATGGCTAAATGACTTTTTCAAGGTGACACATCTAATGAGGAACAGAGCCAAGACTAGAACCCAGGTCTACTGATTCTTTATACTAAACCAGCGGGGGATTCCTGAGAGAAAAAATGTCAGGTACAGAAGGAGAGTACCAAATAAAACCCACCTACTTCCCAGATTTTCCTAGGATGAAATAATTCATCACCTACCTAATAGAATATATGTTTATCCTTGTCTTCACCCCCTTAATCATGTAAACTCTGAGAGCAGAATCTGTTTTTAATTTTTTGTCTTAGTATCTTCAGTGCCTTGCATATAATGCCATATTATAATGTTTATTGAATGGAGTGAATAAAAAAAAGCATTTATTAAGCACTTACTATGTGCTAAACAGTGTACTAAGCTGAGGATATAAATACAAAAATGAAAAAAAAAAGTCCCTGTCTTCAAGGAACTAACATTCTAGTGAGGGAGACAACACATTTAAGGGAGTGTTGTCTGGTGAGAAGTATTTTAGTTTGGAAAGTTGCAGGGATAATGAGTGGAGCCATAGCAACAGCAGTATTAATTTGATAATGATTCCAGAACTGGAAAGTAGGAGAGGGGCTGGGAATGCATGCAGAAAGTATTCTAGTAGTGGCAAGAACTAAAGTTCATCATGACTGGAACTGGTCTAAATAGTGAGCCATGTGAGGCATTTGCCAATCAGGATAGTGGAGACCCAGGATGAGAGTTATTAGAGTTGAAAGGTTAAGACCTTCAGGGCATGTTGTCTGATGTTGGTGGTAGGGGGGCTGGCAAGTAGGTGATGAGGAGGAAAGTGAAGCTAACCCCTTATTTTTGGTTGGCATTTAATAAATATTTGTTGAACTGAATTCTACATGGATAAATTACACATCACAACAAATTGAATGTCTGATTACATGGTCTTTACATGTTAAAATGTGAATTGTCAGATGATCAAGATTTATTAGGGGCAAGGTAATACAATGATTAACTTCTACAAATCACAAAAAAGTTACCTCATGACATTATAGCCATACCACATTTAGATCCTAAAGTTATATAAAACTATAAATTGTTTCATATGGGAAGCAATGAAAGACAAATTTGCATGAAAAAATTAGATAAGATTTTTTAGTTTTTTTCTTTTTTTTTTTACTCTCCATTATTTGTAGTTATTATTGGATTTTTTAAAATACTGGGATTGTAAAGCAATAAAAACACCACGAAATAATCCTCTTATTAGTCATAAATACAGCAAAATGAAATGTCTCCAATATAATTCAAGCAAAATACTGATTAAAATATTGGATCTAGAACTTTATGGTTTCTGATGGATAGAAATTTTTATTCCCCCCAAAAGAGTATGTGACTCATTTCAGCCATCACAGAAGCAATATTAGAAACCATAAAATGTCACTTGATTTAAACCTAGATTAATAAAACATGAGACAATTGACCCATACTCAAAATTCCCATTAATTTTAATGGATACTTCATCAAATATAGAAATCAATCTATTGAAGTAAAAATTACTGAAGACTTGGGCCTTATACATCCTTAGAATAAAACCTGAAAATTCATTAAAAACTAGCAAACTAGATTAAAATAAAAAACAAAAACTCCTTATAAAATGTTGATGTCATGGCTAAACTATAAATTTGTAACTAGAGGAAAATGACTTTATATAATAGTATGAATGAATATGTTGCTCATATTTGCTTAGACATTTAACACTCTATCATAGGATTCAAAGTAGAAGTTTTAAACAGGACTAGATGGCATCTAGTCTAATACCTTCATTTTACCAATGAGAAAATGGGTCCAGAGGAGTAATGAGACACACTAGTCAAGACTAGAACACAGATCCTAATGTTACATTAGAAAGAACATTACATCTGGAGTCAGAGAGCATGTTAGAAATACTGCCTTTGATGTTTATTGCCCATAGGACTTCCCTGAGCCTTTATTTCCTCTTCTTCAAGATGAGATGATTGGACTAGATGGCCTCTGGGCTCTCTTACAGCCCTATATCAATGATGTTGTGACTCCCAAGTTGATGCTCTTTCCATTACTGCATACCAAGATTTCTTGAGCAGTTTTAGATGTAGTGCCACCTAGTGGTCAAATCAGACTATATGGGTCATCCTTCAGGGGGTTCCAAAGTGAACTAGGTTTAGCTAGATCCCTCAGTCCTGTGGAGGGGGGTTGTGACTGACCCCAAAGAAAATCAAGTTCTCTAACTGTCCCTACTCTAAAAAAAACAAACAAACATGGAAGATTCCAAGAAAAGACTTAGGTATGACTCATGTCTAGAGTCCTCTGATTGGTGAGTTCCTCCAAGAGCCTCCATTTTGAGGAAGTACCAAGGCCAGCTTCATACTCACTTCTTTTTTCCTCTTCGTACTAGTTCAGCTCTTGACTCTCTGCACTTCTCCATACTCAGGCAGCTTTCTCATCCTAGAAGATCCTTATGCTCCCGCAGCACCATCATCTGAATTAGTGAATTCCTCTGGGAACTTCATTTTTGAGCAACCACCCAGGCTGCCCCGTATGCATTCCTTTACTCCACTCCTGGCTTCATTCAGAACTTTCTGGACGTTTCCTCCAGTTCTCCCTTACCTTCTTCCTGACTCTGCTTTTCAGCTCCTTTTTATATATAGTGTTATCTTTTCCCATTAGAATGTAAACTTCTTGAGGGCTGGGACTTTCTTTTTACTTAGATTTGTATTCCTGGCACAGTGCCAGGCACATAATAAGCACTTACTATGTTGACTTTTTGACTTGATATACAATATGGGTAGCATGGGTATTAGCGGTAGTGTGCTGATAAATGTTTAGTCTGCATTATTAGTATTCTCATGTTACTTTCTTAAATCTAGACAATCAACAAAACAATAAATCAAGCTCTGATTTATAGCATTTCCTGATTTCTGAGGTTAAATGTTCATACTGGAAATTTAGCAGTTGGCTCTTAGATACCTGCTTTGACTTGGCTCTAGCACATCTCTGGGTGTAAGACAGTTGTTTATTTTTTTCTATCACAAAAAAAGCTCGTGACTGTGAATCACATTAATACTAATGAGAACCAGGTTACTAGTTAAAATATAATGAAAAATTCTCAGCAGGCTGAGAATTATATTGGTAGGCATTAAAAATTTAATCTAAAGCACTAAACAAATCAATAATCAAATTTTAATTTGTACTAGGTAGTTATTCTTGTGAAAAACATAAAGGAGAATGTTTTCCATTAATTTTAGGACCAATGTATGATAGGCTAGTTAAATTACCCCTTTAACTTTGCACTTAATTTGAACATCATTTCCATTTTTTCTGCTAGACTCTCAAATAAATGATTCATGACTCCAGTTCCAAAAGATTGAATTTCCTTAAGATTTCCATGTTTGTAAGCATTGACAGTTAAATGAATGGGCAATATAAGTGGTTTCTTAGGGCATTATAACTAAAACTTGGAAGAACCCTGACTTTGGCCATACTTTGTAACATTTCAGTGATTTCTTGTTTGTTGTTTGACCAAATTTGAACTATCATGGAAGTCTGGAGGGCTGTGCATCCACAGTTCTTCTCTTACCTCTCTGATTTCTTCTTTGCTTTCTCTTCCTTATAGTCATTAACTGAGCATTCTTGGAAAGTAAAGTGTTATTATTATTTTGTTGTTGATAATGATAATAATAATAATCTGACAGTTATAAAATAGAAAGGCCTTTAAAGTTTTCAGAGTGCTTTACATATATTATTGGATATGATAACTTATGAGTTGGGCAGATAGATGGTGCTGGACCTGAAGTCAGAAAAACTCATTTTCCTGAATTCAAATCTAGCCTCAGACCCTTAGTGACTATGTAACCCTGGGCAAGTCACTTAACCCTGTTTGTTTCAGTTTCCTCACCTGTAAAATGAGCTGGAGAAGCAAATGGCAAGCTACTCCAGTATCTTTGCCAAGAAAAACCCAAATGGGGTCATGAAGAGTCAGACTAAAAAATAACAACAAACTTGTGAGGTATATACTACAGAGATGATTCCCATTTTACATATGAGGAAACAGGTTAAATGATTAGCCCAGGTCACATACCTAGTGAACATTAGAGTCATGTTTGTATCCTCAAACTTTCCTGTCTCTGGGGGTGTATATTATCTCTTCTCTCTCTTATAGTCTCTCTTGGATGGATCTGGACCCTAGAATTTTGAGCTTATGTATGTGTTTCTACAAGATCATTACAATTGTATCTATCCAGAACTATTTCTTAACAGTTCCCAAAACCTTCTGGCCATAATATTCATCTGAACCCCTTTGCTGTGGTCTGACTGCATAGTGATGCAATCAGAAAAGAAATATTGGTCATCCCAATCATGAAATAATGAAGACATACTGAAAATGAATGACTCAACAGAAAATTCAGGCCAAACAGTTTGGCGGAGTTCTGCAACTAAATATGTAGCATATAGAAATAGCCTCTCAAGGTAATAGTAGTTGGCATTTGTTTAGCTTTTTAGAGTCTACACAGTGTTTTCTCAACAACTTTAGGTTTATGAAACATGAATATTATTGTTCTCATTTTGCAGATGAGGGAGCAGAGGCTGAGACGTTGTGATTTGCCCAAGCTAAATGACTGTATAGTTAACATAGTAAGTATATAGAAAGTGAAAGAATTGAGACTTGAACCCAGATCCCTTCATGTTAATAGATTACTTGCTCTTAAACCTCAGCAATCATAGTCAAAGTAGTGGTGCGTGTATACTTAATGTTTATTAAATATAATATTTCTTGTTGTAATGATCTTCGGACAATGAACAAAAGTTCTTTAAACTAACTGAAATGTGAAGCTGCAAAGAGGACAGAACAGTAATTTCCAAGTTGGCATTAGTCTACACTTAAACCAGGGCCACAACTAGCAATTTGGAGGACTGGAGGAAAATCAACACCACATGAGTCCTTCAAATCAGCTTTGTAATTCATGATAAGAAAATAATACTAGATGTAATTAAGACAAATTCAGTTGAGTGGGAGGGGAAATTGGCTATGAGAGTGGCTCACAAATGAGTGGTATTGACAATGTGCATGCCATCTGGTAGCTTTCTAACTAGATACTAGGTTTAGTTGTTTCAAGCTG